TACTATTTGTCTGGCATGTAAAAATAATTCTAAATGAATATTTTCTTATTTAATTTCTATTCTACTTGAAATACAATCAATTCTCTTAAGCAAACGTAAATACTTATTATCTATTTATCTTTATTCTTTAATTGGTAGAACACTAGGAATAAATTCTTTTAGTGAATATAGTAATATTATAAATCTATGAATTATTCTAAAAATATTAGATCTTTTATTTTATATTCTAGAATGTTAGGAGCATTTCTTGAATAAAATAATACTACTACTGATAAAAATTATTGTTTTATTCCACTCTTATTCAAGGATCAAATTGGTTAAAAAATAATAATCCTTATTTAAAATTATTTAAAATACATCTTGAAAAATAAAATCAAAACCCTAATATACCATTTCCAATAGCAACTCATTTATTAAAAAAAGAAAATATTTCAATAGTAAGATCAGATAAAATTATAGTATCTAATAATGATTTTGATATAGAAATATATGATGAAGATACAAATTTTAATCAGTCCATAGCAGGATTTGCTAGAACAGATAATAATTTATTACTTCCTACATTCAATGATTCTAACTTGGAAGCATTATTATTTTTTGATCTATATCCAAATATTAAAAAAACATATTAAGATTTAATAAATCAAAGTTTAGTTTTAAATATAAAGATTGAAACTTATAGAAAATATATTAAAGAATGAATTAAAAGAAAAGATTCAAGATTTAGATTATATTATATATGGCTTGTATGATTTTATTCACAATTAGAAAATATCGTAATTATCAAAATAATCAAAGAATTTTTTAACAAAATCAAGCATCTTAATTGTACAATCCTACATGTACTATTAATTTAATTCAAAAAAACCTTTATATTGACAAACTAATAATTAATGAACAAATTACTACTATATTACCAACTTTTATCAGAATAGGAGACTCATATTTTTGGGAAAAAGAATATTATATCAATGCAATAATAAATAATATTGATTTACCTCAATTATTTATAATATTAATAATGAATAAAAGCAGATAGAACATTTAAAAATATTTATCAAAAACTAATAATTATAATATATTATCAACTAATCAACCATTTCATCATATATATCATTTTATATATCACTTAAAAAATATGAAAATAATTTTTAGAAACATTCAGAATTAACAAACTGAGAAAAAATATTATATTTTTTGAACATATTGAATTTTAAAATCGTGATATAGCTAATATACATGGATGCTTATAAATAATAAAATCTATTAATGATATGATAAATGATAATATTATAAAGCAGATTTATCAGATCTAGAAACAAAATCAGAATTATATATTCTTGTAAAAACTCATTAAATTTATACATGTAATTCAAAATGTGATAGACTATTGCTTTAAGAGAAACATGCAAGAAAGATTTTTCATAATTATATTCAAAATATACATATGGAAATACAAATAATTCAAGATTTATTTATAAATGTAAAAAGAAACAATATAGATGGATTATACCATATCATATACCAATACTTTATATTTAGAATGCATATATGAATTTATAATATGTAACAACAAAAGAATTTGCAAGATATACGACTAAATATATTTTAAAAAGAGTACTTATCCATATTTTTAATATTTAAAAAGGTGATAAATATAGATAATACATTCAAGGTTATAGATTAGAAATAATAGAATTAATGTTTTTAATTTTTAGAGAAATTATTTGTAATTCTTTTATTAAAGTTCAATAGTATAAGATAAAATCAATACTTCTAATTTCATTGTTAATGAATTTAGAGAATAATTTTACTCAGATTTAATAAAAAAATATTTCAACAGAATAAAATAAGATGAATTTGAATTATTATAATATCAAAAATATTTTGAAAATTATAATATTACACTTTCAAACATAACAACTCTAAGAAGAGTATTTCAAGATGAAATTGGAAATTATATTATAAAAAGAAAAATTAAACTCATAATAAAAATAAGATATTTAAGACTAGTATCAATAATTATTATTAAGACTTATGTCTAAAAGTAAAGAAGAATTAAAAGGAAATTATACAATATATTAAGAACATTTTTTAAATAGATTTCCAAAAATATATTAAAATGAGTGTATTTTATATAAAAAAAAAATATCAAAAAGAAACTAATAATTTTAATAACCAATTTTTTGAACTCATTCATATATTCTTACAAAATCTAATGAATTTAACAAATTTAAAATTTAAAGAAATAATTTATAATCAATTAATGAAAATGAAAATGATACTACTAATAATAATATTAAATATAATATTAATACTACCAGATGATCAATATTAATGTATTAAAAGAATAATAAGAACTCAAGGTCTATTAGATGAAAAACATTATCTATACTTCTTTATAACAGGAACTGCTAGAACTGAAAAATCATATGTTACTCATTATCTATTGATTCTTATTTACTACTTATATTAATTAGTATTGCTGCACAAAATATTAGAGGTTATACAATACATTTAACCTTAAAAATTCATGTTACAGAAGGTAGTTTTCAAACATTTAGCATTTAATGATAAATCATTCAAAGAAAATCTTAAAAAGATAAAAATTCTTATAATTGATAAAATATCAATGGTTTTATCTGAATTATTTAGCTATCTTTCAAATATATTTTCTAAATTACATAATAATTTACAACCATTTGGAAGAATAAGTATTATATCCACTATTCTTAAGATAACTAAAAAGATAAGTAGATGATATTATTCACTATTAAAATATATTAGATTTGGAACATTTTAGAATCAATATGGTAATTATTAAATAAAATACCAAAAAGCTCAAATAATTCATCATTAGAAGATATATTAAATACAACCCATGTTGTAGGTTATAAGGAGTCAGCTGAACAAATTAACACTCAAATTTGTAATATTTAACCAATTGAATATGAAAAATATTTAATTTCATATTTAAAGGATATCATTAATAAAGAAGTACAAGAACATGGAAGTTCAGAATACTTAATGAAATATAAAACAAACTTACCATTTTTTATAAGATTGCAAATAGGATGTCGAGTAATTGTACTTAACAACAAATATATTAGTAAACAAATTTATAATGATACCATAGGTATTGTTACAGATATTGACAAAAATAGAGAAATAATAAGAGTAGCATTTTGTATAAACAAAGGAATTATTGATATTGAAATAGAACAAGAAACTGCACTTTTCAATATTAATGGAATACCAGCATGTAAAATTCAATTTCCATTACAAAATGCTTTTGCCTTAACAGTTCATAAAACAAGCGACATTACCATAGACTCACTTTATTTAAATAATCAAATGTTCGCGTGAGGCCAATCATATGTAGCTTTAAGCAGGTGTAAATCTTGGAATGATATAAAATTTTATCTCTTACACCTGATGCTTTTTTACATATCCAATGCAACAATACGAACATTTATGATATTAACATTTTATTGGTTTACTTCCAACTGATACATTATACTATGGAAAATGTTCACTATAATTAATTATACCTTAAAAGCCATATAAAATTTTTTTATTAATAAAGCCAGATTTCCGTGGTCAATTTTAAAATGTTAATGTTACGTGAACCGAAAATGCTAATTTACGTAGCCTAATAAAAAAAAGAAATAACAATTTCTTGACATAATATTCATCGTGAGATTATGTTACACCATAAAATTTTCTCCATTATACTAATTTTACAGTACGTCATTTCTATTTAAAATTAGAAAAAATAAACTAGATACCATCAAATAGGACGGTTCTCTGGTTCTATCTCGGTTCTTCTTCGGCTCTCCCAAAGTAAATTAAGACTAGGTGCGTCAAGTTAAATTTATACAAATGGAGCATTTTTTCTTTGAATGATTATCGTATATTTTGATGAATATTGAGCCGAGTTGAATTCTTTGAGCCATATTCCGGTTCGATTTTAAAATTGGCAAAATTGTTTGTAACTCGGGTAAATTCAGAAATGCTGAATTTTTAATCGGAAGCCGCTCTTTTTGATCCGTTTCCATTCTTACATCTTATATAGTCATTTACTTTTTACTCATTTCAAGCAGCCTTTTACATTTATTAATAATTATTGTATAGTAAAAATAAACGAATATTATGGGAACTTTTCCATTATAATCTGTAATGTGAATTTACTCGCATAGCTTCTATATCTAATCCAAATAATCGACGTCTAAATTAATATTCTAATTGAAGTTAAGTTTTATAATAAATGCATTAGCTACATACTTGTAAAAACTACTGCAGAATTTTGTAGTATAAATCAGCAATTTTTTCCAATTAATTGTAACTTTTGAACGTTAAATAAAATTTAGTTTCACATCTAGGACTTTGTTCAAAAATCTCAGTCTTAACTAAATAATTATCAGGTCTCGGATATTGAAACGCGTTATTTCAAAATACTTATTCGATATAGAAACATAAGTTTCCAAAGTGAAAAATGGTAAAATAAATAATATCAATATACTTTGAAGCTTTGGATAATAAAACACGAATAAAACACGAATTTAATAATATTTTAAAACAAATTTTTTTCGAAATAAGCAGAATCGCCAAAGTTTTTATTAGTGATATGAGCCAAATCAGCCCAGGCAAAATTAGATGTAAAAAATATTCACTACAAATCTTTTAATAAATATTTTAGAAACTTGCAATTAAAGCTCATTTCAAACTTATGACAATGTTTCCTCCTGATTTTATATTTATGAATTTACAATCCTTTATTCAATTAAGAATTGACAAAACTTTGGGTAAAATACAGTACGGATAATGTTGGAAAGATATTTAAAAAACATATAATGTTGATATTTTCACAAGTCCTGTGCATTGATATGATAAAATCTCTAATATGCCGGAAGTGTAACAACAAAATATTATATCAGTGAAAAACTATTTATAATATGAGAAACGATCCAGCATAACTTTGACTTGAAGTGTAAGTAATGTTATTTGTAAATATAATCCACCCTCATCTTTGAACGAATGCGTTCCATACTTCGACCTTGGCTTCGAGCTTTACCATTCCAGTAATTTTTAATTTGTAATTCAGTTCTTCTAAATTTCTTATCTTTTGACAATTCTTCTGTAATTTTTGCCCATTTTTTATAATAAGGTGGGTCATCTTGAAGAGAGTTAATTTTTAACTTTTCATCTTCTGTCAATGGATCCTTATCGACTAAAATGTAAAGGAGGATGTAAATTAAATTGATTTTATGCAGAAAGTAATTTGAAAACATACGAACTCGTTGGGTCCAAATGATTAACATATCTGGTAATAAGAAAAAATATGTAAAAGGGAAATCATGCATTCAATGATAAGAAATTTTGAAGAAATCTCTCACCGTTCGCGAACACTTTTATGATTTCGCTATAATTTGTCACCAAACATTCTCCATTTATTTATTTTATTTGAATATTGACTAAATAAATTTAGAAGTTGACGATCTTCCTAATAAGGATAATTTAAAGAGTTTAAAAAATTTCAATCACATTGAATGTTTATTTACATAATATACCTCTTCAGAGTATGCCCCGAGCACCTTCGCTCTTTTAATATTACGCTTTTTAAGTCTTTTTTCTACCGTTTCTTTAGTTTCATTAATTTCATTTGACATTTTGAAAAATTTTTTTTTTTTTTTTTTTAAAAAAAATTTTCTTTGACAGCTTTATATATGAATAAAATTTGGCGGTTCTATTAATGTTGGACCGCATAATTTCTATTTGATTCGTTATATAGCCGCATTAATTATCACGTCCTTCATGTATAATAATAGTAGTATATTATATGCATTGGCGTGACAACTTTTGACCAAAGTGAACGATGTTTTTTACGCCCGACCAAGCCTGCTGTTAACTGGTTAATTGTTTATAATATAAACATAAGTATGGTCGAACAATTTTATATTCATTTACTATTACCTGACAGAGAAAATACCTTCTTTTTCGAATCATTATTTCATCATTAATTGTCGGACGGCATTATTATTTGCTTTGTTTACGATTTGCCAAGATAAAAAAAAAAACTTTTTGTCAGTATTTGAATAGCAACAAGTAAACTTTCTGCGTTTACTTACCACACTTACCATATTAAGTCGTAGGACAAGGAAAGCCTTTATAGTTTATCGAGAAGGTCATGAATGAAATTCTGTACAATATTGTACGACAAAGGGCTCATTGTAATTATTCCCGTTTTCAGAAAATGAGTACAATTTAAAAATTATGATCCTCATTTTTATGAATGTAGTGATCGACCTTTTGAAATTTGAAGCAAAAACTCCGATCATGTGTGTGAAATCTCGATAATAAAATCTTTCATACTTATTAAGTGAGCATTTAAATTACTTAACACTTTAAAGTACATCGTTTTATCGTTAATGAATAGCCTCTCGAAATTAATTTAACTTCGCATAAATGATTTGATGTTCTGCGCCTTAATACAAATTTAGAAATTGGCCCTTAAATTTTGGTGATACGGCGTAAAATTTAATTATAAAAACTAGTCCACATTTTCTCTTTTTCTTGATATCGAACGAGATGATATCAATTTTATGAGTATTCGGATTTCGACGATATGGTGTAATTCAAAATATTTGAGAATGTGCAAAACTTTTTCGAAGAGGTAAATGACAAGTGATTAAAGCGATTGTTTGTATAAAAATATTTTTTTCAATGTTTAATTTACATGTCATGTGTGAGTTTAAAATTCACTGGCAAATGAATCATGAAAACATTATAGAATATTATGGAATCCCAAAGACGGAAATCGGTGAATACTTTGAAAATCAATTCTTTAAATTAAAAGATTTATTTCATTTTATTTTTTTTTTTTTCTAAAATCGTTATTTCGTTCAAATGGAACAAATACTCCTTAGTCATGGAGCTTGCTGTTTATAATTTGGGAAATTATTTAGAGCGAAAGTTTTCTGAACATTATTGGAATGACAAATATGACCTATCCTTTCAATTGGAGTGTACAGTAAAATGTTTTATATGATAAGATATTATCCCATTGTAATTTGGTATTTTTATTTTTATTTCATCTTTTATTAAATTGAAGCATGCAGGTAACGTCCTTGTACTCTTAAGGTGGCGGCTTTGGTAATAAAAAAGATTGCAGAAGTATCAAATGATCATCACAAATATTCGGTGTAATGCCTTAACCTATTGTAACCCAAATCATTTTACTGACGCAAATTATATACAAAGAAATCTGATTGTATAACATAGGAGTTTTAAATATGACGGTGTTCAAGTGGTGTTTTCAACCATTTTCGCGTGAAAATTTCGATATTGACCCTATTATAGAATAGAAATTGGATTTGGAAAGAGAGAAAATATCGTTCAAGGAACTCCTGTTGTTATAGGTAAATGATCTAAGTGATATTGGTTATTACAATTTTAAAATGACTAAAAGATTGTTTATTCAATTAGAATGTTGGAAAAGTGAACCAACGAACGACCAGATATGCGAAACGTCATTCAAATATTAAAGTAATGATGTGTCCCGAACGAAGTGATGTGGATGTCAGACTTGATTTTGATGGAAATAATACATTAATTAAAGACAATTCATTAAGAGTAATGATTCGAATATTTGTGGTTTAGATGTATATAACGTAATGCCTCATGATGATGCTAATCTTTTCAAACCAAACGTTATCGACAATTTCATTCGCCTCAAAAATAACTGTAATTGTTGACAAATTAATCAATTAAATAAGCAAGGTATTGGTTTTGTTAAAATCAAGACTCTCTTTGAAAAAATGTATATATGATCTCTAACATTGGCTCAGGAAAACCAACTCAAAACACAATATATTTGATTCAATGGATTATTCTACTACGATAACACGGTTCATAGTACGAAATCATTTAAATTGTTTTTAGAAGCGTAGAAAAGAAATTTTCCAATAGCCAAAGTCTATCTTGCAAAATGTTATATCGATTGATATGGAATTGTTCGAAATAATGAGAAGGCATTTGATTAATAAGGAATTCGAAGAAAATGGAAGCATTAGCGGACAACTTTATTTGGGATGGCATCGGAACTGATAAGGATGTAAAGAAATCAATAGATTGGTACAAAAAGCAACAAGAATTGGAAGCACGTACAATATTTGCAGAATGCTAAAGATCATGAAAAAGAGACAAGCCACAGCATTCAATTACTAGCAAGAATTGAAATTGCTGATTCACAATTAGAACTTTGGAAATTGCAATAGATTAGATATGAAATTGGGTTAATGTTCTTATTATAATAATATTGCTCGTGTCTGTATTATTGGATTTGACGATTATTGTTTAGCAAAGGACTTTTATAACTATATCCTATAGTCTGTAACTTTATCGCATCACTTTTTATTTCAATTGTGCAATACATCGATTATTTAGATCATCAATTGTAAATTTGTGTTTGAAGTAAAATTATAACTAGCGAAACGACTTTGTCTTAACTATGTTGTGGGTGTACAATTATTTCGCAATAATTTAGATAACAAATATGAATTAAAAGGAATAAATAAAATATTTCATAGAAACTTTATTTATAAAATTACATTACAAACATTTTTAAAAATCATGGTAAACTTTATTTATTTTAATTATACTATTACAATTATACAACTCATATGACAAGACTAAAAAGATTATAAAGGTAACTTACAATATCGATCGACTATCGACTGCGTTCCAAGGAATGAGAGTATCCAATACGGCTCGGTCGATTATTAACTGCACTAAAAAGATGGGAGATATCCAACAGGGCTCGGGTTGCGTGAGCACCCACACATGAAACAGTTTTTGAATAACATAAGGGCAGGGGTATAGCAAATTTATTTTTCAGAACATCGCAGACCCTTACCTATTCACGAGCAGTTGTACCGGCCCCTTTAAATTGTAGACAATTAAAGTCGGTCCCCCCCAACTTGATATGAAATTTAAAAAAAAAAAAAAAATGGTAAAGTTACAAAATCAAATGATTGTATACTTGTATTTGCCGCTTCCGCTTCTTCATTGTTGGCTAAAAAATTAAGAATATTAATATTAATAATGTACAGCATATTTTTTATTGAAAATTTTATTCTTGTCAAAATGAGTTGTTATTTATCAGGAGAAAAAGGAAGAAGGAAGGGTTTGAATCGGACACGAAGTAAAAAAGTTCATTTTCAGGTATCTCATCGATTTAAAAAAAAAAATTCTAGAAAAAGAAGTGGAAAAGGGAATTAATTATGGAATCTAAGTAAAAATAGTCACGTAGAAGGTAATAGATGCAATAGATCGAAATAATAGTGACGTTTACGTGTAAATATCAAGAAGAAAATATTTTTTGTAATGGAGGAGGATATTCGTCCATATTTCACGAAATGACGAGAGGAATCTATTTTTGATAATGATATAATACTACATTAAAGAAAAAGAATAAAGAGCTTTACCAGCAGGTTAAGATTTGAAATTCAGATATCAGCTACGGCAAAAGTAAAGTATTTTAGAAAATAGTCTCTCGCTGAAAGAAGATAAAGGCCATGACAGTTTATTCAAGGTGAGCGCGGTTCATTATGAGAATTTTTTTTGTGAAAAGGCTATGAAAAAGAAAAGTACATTATAATTTGGTCATAATTTTGTATAAGATACTATAAGAAAGGTGTGCTCAAAAACTTGTCCGCTTCTTTGTTCTTTATAAAGGAAAAAAAGGTTGTTCGCGTGTAAAAAATAAAACAAAAAAACTTAAAAATGTTTATCGACTTATACAAAAGCATGCTTTTTTATTTCTAAATATGTTAATTGATTTCTAATTGCTTTTCGGCTAATAAATTTGCCTACCAACTTTAATGGTAATGATGTAAGCCAATATTTATATGGGAAAATATTATTCCTTTTATTTATGTTTATCGCAAGCTTGCAAGAATCATATTTATTGTTTCGATTTTCCTTACACTGTGTTGTAAATAGTCTATTTTAAAACGCCCCACTCGGATTTGGTGTGTTAAATAAATGTAAGGCGCAGCTAAAGTCGTCAACTTCCGAGATATATTTTAAACAGAGGTGGTGCTAAAAAATTAATCAATTTTAGTCTTTTTTGTTAGAAATTTTAAAGCAAATATTCAATTTAATGTGAATTACCAAAAATAAAATGTGAGACGCGAGCTGTTATTTAGACATTTTAGTAAATAATAATAAGGTATGTCCTAAAATGCAATAATCGACACAAAAATATCAATAAACTATAAATCGTACGAATATAAATTTATGCAATTAAATATAATATACCCATTTTTAATATTTGTTAATATTTGTTAAAATTATAAAGTAAGGATTTGAAATGGAGAATTGTGTATGTGAAATGATCATTCCATTGAAAAATCTTATATTTAGATATTGTACAATATTTAGAGCATTAAATTATTTTATATTTGGAAGAATGATAAAGAACCAATCCAAAAATAAATGACAAAAATAGCTGGTTAATGAAATCCTTCAAACTCGGTTCATTTTCTTGAAATATCCTTCGCATTTCGTAAATGTATTAAATAAATAAACGAAATTTGGTCAAATAAAAGTTTGGCATTCAGCTCATTGCTTTCTCCCATGATGTGAAGAAATATATTATGTAACTATT